CACTATGCCTGGCTAATTTTTAAAAATTTTTTGTAGAAACAGGGTTTAAAATTTTTTTGTGCAAAACAGGTTTTTGTAGAAACAGGGTAAACCCAGGTCTCAAACTCCTGGGTTTAAGCAATCTGCCTTCCTCGACCTCCCAAAGTGCTGGGATTACAGGCGTGAGCCACAGTGCCTGGCCAAATACTTCATTTTCTAGATCATAAGATGCTTCACTTTACTCCTGGCAAAAAGTTGATTCAGCAAACCAGGGCTTTAAGTGAAGCCGGTTGGGACCTGAACCCTTGACAACTGTCCAGGGTGGAAGACGGAGCAGCTGCATCTATAGGCCACCTGGGGTGTAGGGTGACCAGCTGCCTAGCAAACCCTCCAGGGCCTCCCCGCAGTGAACTGCTATGGGCATTAGGAGGCTGCAGAAGTTTCTTCTAAGCATGCTCTGGAATACAGTAGAAAGTGACACACAGAGACACCCCACACAACATTCGCAATCACACTGAAGTGTACATCCCAGATCTGAGTGCGCTTTATTTCCCATCACAGTCTGCACCCTGAAAATAATGGAATCCAATCTGAGAGAATAAGACAACACCAGCTCTTGATTTCCTTTGGTCTTAGAAATAAAGCATAACAAGTTCACAAAAACCTACAAACTACAAGACAGGGCTTTGTTTCCCGAGGCTGTCACTCCTTCTTTACTCCTCCTATTCCTGGAAACATCATTTTCTCTTGCAGATTCTTCATGTTCCCCCAAATCCAAATTCACAAGTTCCCAAAAAGGGCAATGCTCCTTGCTTGTTGCACTGCAGGACAGAGTGGGGCCGGGAGCAGGAAAAGAAAATGATGCCTCGCTTCACATCTGGCTCTCCTTTCCCACCTAGTCCCTCCCTGCCAGAGGCTCCTGGGGAGCTCCTGCTCTGTCTAGAACATTGGGTTTCTGGGCTGTTTCCCATTCAGGAAAGGGGTGAGGGCTCTCCTCCCACCCAGGCAGCACCTCTGGAGGCTGTGAGCGTCTCTGCCCCCTGAAACGCCTGCACAGGGCACTCAGGAAGGGCTGGGGACTGGGTGAGGAGGTGGGGACAGAATGCCCCCTGGAAACTGCCCCAGGGGCAGCTTGAGTGGCCTGAGCCTGTGTCTGTCCTACTGAAGGGTGGAGCCCCTCTGTGGAGGTACCCACTTTTCAGAACTGCTGCTTTTGGGGGAGAACACCTTTTCCCAGGTGTTGTCCTTGGGGTAGCAGGGAAGACTGGGAAAACTGAGCGGCAAGAGCTGTTGGAGGGGGGAGTTACATTTATTGACTATTACATTCCGGGTGCTGCTGAAGGTCGCGGGTCCTACAAGATCTCCTTTTAGCCCCTCACATCCCTGTAGATTACAGGTCGTTCACAGATGACCCTGAACCCAGAGGGGCTGTCTAGGCCCAGGGCCCAGCTAGTGAGTGGATGGGTGGAATCAGACCTGCCTTGGAAGGGTCTGTCTTACCCTGGCGCCCAAGATGTGTCCCTTACCCTCTGGCACCAGGATATGTAAATTCAGGACACCCCTTTCGTTAGGGGCCCAAGTTTATCATGGGTCTGATCTCTAAGGTCACATCTCCGCCTTCTCACCTGACCGACAGGAAACCCCCGAAATGTCCCTCGCACGTGCAAGACGTTTTCCGCGGTGGCGGCGACAGGGCGCACAGTGGGACCGCAGCACAAGCGCGGGGCACCCCCACAGTCGGCGACTCCTGCCCCCGCCCCTGCCGGCCGGGCAGTCCTGGGGCCTGGGAGGGCAGCACCGCCGGGCTTCGCGCCATGACATCAGCCCTGGAGTGGTGCAGTGTGCAAAGCCCACTGGTTGGCGTGGCCCGGGACACGCCTTCCCCGGAGCGGAACAAAACGGCGCGCAGGCCGGGCGCACCCAGCCGCCACTTCCGAGAGCGCCCGCAGCCCGTGCGCCGCCGAGCCAGCTGCCAGGTGAGTGCGCCCTGGGCCACGCGGCTCTGCGCCCCGCGGAGGGGCGCCTGGGCACGCCCTCAGCGCCTCCCGGTCTTGCTCGCTCCGCCGCGGCCCCCGGGGCTGTCGCAGGCGGGGAATTGTGAGAAGTGACCGCAGTTAGCCCGGGCAGTGCTGCTCTTTCCTGGAGGCACTAGGTCCCTCCCCATCCCGGGCCTTCCTGGGCTTCCTGGACACAGTTGGCTTCCGCGTGTCCGTGACCCAGGGCGACCCGGCTACCCCCAACCGCCTGCAGGTCGGGCAGAACAATCGGCGATTCTGCGCGCTACTGACGCTCATTGTATGGCAGAGAGATGAGGGCATCCGTGCCACCCCCTCCCTCACCCTCCTGCTGGGGAGAAAATGCCTGCGGGCGGGGTGGGGCAAACATCTGGCTTCATGGGCCTGACCTTGGACGTCTGTGTCCCTGAGCGCAGGTGTGAGTTTTCCCTCTTGCGAAAGAACTGCATGGAAACCTCTCCACTCCAAATCTTGGTGCTAGGTGGTGATGGTTACTGAAACCTGAAAGAGCCTGCAGCCAGTGTTTTCTGGCCTCAGGCCTTGAAAGCTGGGCAGTAAGAAAGGGACTGGTGTTGAGCGCGTTTAAAGCAAATCACAATGTGTTAGCTAACAGTCAGCCCTCTGAGGCAGGTATGTATCTACTAGTACAGACCAGAGAATATTTTGCGTGCTTCTGGTTCTGGTGCTGTTGTGATCTAACCGGGACCCAGGAATCGGCTGGAGCAATAGTGGGCTCAGGCTCTGCCTAGAGCCCTGGGCTCCCACCACCCACCCCGCTGCTCCCTGAGAGTGAGTGAATGGGCAGGCCCTCCCCACGCTGGGATACTGTCACAGTGGCACCGAGGAAATCCACTGGGCCCTGGTAGAAAGTGTATCAGTGTATCATGAAGAGGTGGCCTGGAGTCTTTGTGGGGGATTGTTTGGAAGGCAGAGTTTTGACTCAGATTTGCCACTTAACACACAGGTTTCCTTGGATAAACTATTTAACTTCTCAATGCCTCAATTTCTTTCAGGGATGCTACAGAACCTCCGACACAGGAGTGATCTGCCAGTTACTATCTTCTTTCTTGTCCCCCCCCATCCCTTCCCTTCCTCCCAGAAGCTAAGGAGGCTGGAGGTGCTGCCTGTCTCCCTCTGTCCTCTCAGAGTGCATGTTGGGGATTTTCCCCAGGTGGGATTTGGGGATGGTACTGAGCTTCCCCTGCTCTCATTCAACTGCTGCCTCCTGACTCTCCAGCTGGTTTCTGGCTCAGGAGGCCAGGCTACCTCTTTTGAGAGAGACTGTCCTCAGCCCTCAACTGCTGATGGGCAGCTTTTACCCATTGTTTCCTAAATCCAGCTTCCTCCTGCTCACGGTCTTCCAGTGAATGACCCTTTTGCCTTGGAGAGGATATCCGGGGCGGAGGCAGACGAGGAAGGAAGTTTATCCTGCAGAGGGTGTAGTGTGGGTTAGAGGAGAGGAAGGAGAGAACTGTCTGCAAGGCCTGAGATGCCCGGGATGGAGGGTATGCGGGGGATGCAGGAGAGAAACTAAAGAGAAGGCCCATCAGCTCGGCAACTGGCCTGCTAATAAAATGGGAAAAACAGGGGTGCTATGGCCTCTTTGCCTCTGGTCTGTCTTAGCACCTTCTTTCCTGGCCCAGGTGTTTGCTCTTTTAATTGTACACATGTGCATCTGCTTCTGGAGCTAGTGAGTCCTGACTGGGCCAGAGTTGCAGCCTGGGAGTGTAGTGACACTTGACGGGGTGATCAGTACATATTTGATGAATGAGTGGGGTAGCAATGGTCTTTCAGCTGAGTTGGCCTGCTGGACACTCATAAACCTTGCAAATAGTTACTAGCCAGTTTTTCCACTTGGGTAGATTGACAAGCAGGTGAGAGAAAAAAAGGCATAGTTTTTTTTGTTTGTTTGTTTTTTGTTTTGTTTTGTTTTGTTTTGAGGCAGTCTTGCTCTGTCGCCCAGGCTGGAGTACAATGGCACAACATTGGCTCACTGCAACTTCCACCTCCGAGGTTCAAGCGGTTCTCCTGCCTCAGCCTTCCAAGTAGCTGGGATTACAGATGTCTGTCAATACACCCAGATAATTTTTTGTATTTTTAGTAGAGATGGCATTTTGCCATGTTGGCCAGGCTGTTCTTGAACTCCTGACCTCAGGTGATCCACCTGCCTCAGCCTCCCAAAGCATTGGGATTACAGGCATGAGCCATTGCGTCCGGCCGGTTTTTTTTGTTTTGTTTTTTTGTTTTTTTTTAGAGACAGTGTCTCACTATATTGGCCAGTCTGGTCTCGAACTCCTGGCCTCAAGTGATCCCCTCCCTGTCCCCACCACCACCTCAGCCTCCCAAAGTGCTGGGATTAAGGCATGACCCACTATGCCTGGCAACATAGTTTTTATTCACTGTCCGTCTCCTGGTGGGTGAAGTGAATTGGGAAGGCTTTTCTGGCAGGTTGCTAAAGCTTTAAATATTTATGTAAGCCTAGCTTATTGTGAAACGTTGGCTGGCTAGATGAAGACACATGGGTTAAATATTTTGGGATCCAAAGAGGTGCTAGTGAGAATAAAAAGACTTTTTCCTCCAAGTCAGCCATTTGGCATTACTCAAGCATATTGTCAAATATCAAAAGAGACACAAAACTGAACAATAGGTATTAGAGTTGGCATGTCCTTAAGATAAGGATAACCAGATATCTGCACTTGCAGTGTACCAGACAGTGTGAGAAATACTTCACATGTGTTATCTTGGACAATTTATGAAGTAGCTACTGATGCTCTCCATTTTACAAATGGAGAAACTGAGGCTCAGTGGTAGTAAGAAACTTGCTCAGGATGACAGCTAATCAGTTTTGAAGCTGCCATTCCAACATAAGCTGATTGTTTTCAGAACGTATGCTCAGTCACTACCCTATTATTTTTCTTTGCTCCTCTACATTGCCTTTTTCCAGATCAACTCACTAAGGAAATATCTGCCATTTGTGAAACACATCAGCTTTACAAGTTGCTTTACAGTGGCTTATAAACTATTTAAGGAAGATATCTTTCACTTGGATGGGTCAGAGTTAGAACTCCTGACCTCTGGGTTTTCAGTCTGTTGCATGGCCAGGTAGGAGCAGAGGGGACCCCTGAGAGTTGGTTGCCAGCCACCAATGGATATGCTTTCACCACCTCTGCATGTTGAGTTTCAGAGCCAGGTTTGCAGAAAGAAAAGAAGCCTGGAAAAGAGCCTGCTTGAGAAAGAGAGAGAGAGCTAGTAAAACTTGAGGGGAGGGCAGAGAAGGTGAGGTGGAGGGGTCCTGGGTTCTGACTGCTGTTTCCAGTTGTCAAGAATTTATATGGTAACGACGTTCCTGTACTACGCAGCTCCCTAGGAATGTGTCTGACGCCAGCACTGAGTCATTCCCATGTATGGTAAAGTGTGTAAATACGGGGGCAGCTAGCATTTCCAGACTCTGGTATTTCCAGTGCTTCCCCAGGGCCAGAAGGCAGTGTCTGAGTCTTCAGGGTGACAACAGAGGAAGAAATGGAAGGTTAGCAGCTGGAGCTCAGCCCCAGCTAGGCTGCCAGCACCCCCTACCCCCAACTGTGTGCCTGGCTTTCTTTATGTGGCGGGGGGGGGGGGGGGGGGGGGGGGGGGGGGGGGGGGGGGGGGGGGGGGGGTGGGGAGGGTGCGTGGGTTGGCGCTTCCTGGGATGTCAACTGCAAACAACCTGTGTTTATAAGGCCTAAGTGCTAATTTGCTTTAACTTTTTAAAAATTAATCAAAGAAAAATCATTCACACCATCTTGTTCAGCATGGAATAACCAACATCATTCCAGATCTGGATAAAAACAAGGAAACCCCATCTGTTAATTTGTCTGTGAGGCTTTATTAGAATACAGGATTTCCTGTAGAAGTTTTAAAATACTACAAAGAAGTCAACGACTTCCATTTCTACCTGTGTTGACCTTCAGACTTCTTTTTTTTGAGACAGTTTCACTCTTGTCCCCCAGGCTGAAGTGCAGTGGCACGATCTTGGCTCACTGCAACCTCTGCCTCCCGGGTTCAAGTGATTCTCCTGTCTCAGCCTCCCGAGTAGCTGGGATTACAGGTGTGTGCCACCACACTCGACTAATTTTTTTTTTTTTTTTTTTTAAGTAGAGATGGGGTTTCATGCTGTTGGCCAGGCTGGTCTCGAACTTCTGACCTCAAGTGATCTGCCCACCTCAGCCTCCCCCAGTGTTCGGATTACAGGAATGAGCCACTGCACCCTGCAAACTTCTGAGCTCCGAGAGTAGGGAGCTCTGCTCTAGAAGGCAACGGGGGCAAGTGGGGAAAGGGAGAGACATACACCATCCTTGTCAGCTCACAGTCTCACAAGAGCCACTGGACATGGATTTGAAAAGAGAAAACTCATACAATAGAGAGAAGGATCCCTGAGCTAGAATGACAGTCAAGTTCTGGAGTCCCATAGGGCCTGGAGTGATGGTAGCTCAGTGATGCTGGTTACTTTCTCAGAGAGGCGGGTCATGTGCAGGGTTTGAAGGAAACATGAGGTGGGATATGCAAAGCTGAGGCCATGCCTGCCCCATCTCCATGGCAGCCATTCTCCCCCTACCCGGGACCCGGACCTTCAGGAGAGGCTGATTTCCTGAGCTCTTAGGTGTCACCTCTAAGACTTGGCTCTGAGCCCTGACCATTGGGGCCCCCTCCTTCCCTCTCTACCCTCAGCTGCTCTCTGGACACTGGGGCGTGGAGGCAAAAGCTGAGCTACAGATTGGAAGGGATGCCAGCCCTCCTGTCCACCTGGCAGATACTAAGCAGCTCAGCTAATGCGAGGGAACTAGATAAACATCTGACAGGTTTCTACTGGAGCAAGTGGGTGGGGACTTTGGCCCTGTGCCGTCAGTCTCTCTTTTGCCCTAGGGAATGGGAGAGATGGGATTTTTCCACTGGAGAAATAAAGATATGGGATGGTTTTGAAGGGTTTGATAAGAAGGGGCTTGCCTTCAGACACTGGTGGCTGGCAGTTAGGGATTTTACATCTCTGTGATGGTTCCTTCAACCTGTCACCTGAGCTGGACTTTTCTTCTTTTCTTTTCTTTTCTGTTTTCTTTTCTCTTTTCTTTTCTTTTCGACTCTATTGCCCAGGCTGGAGTGCAGTGGTGCAATCTCTGCTCACTGCAACCTCCATCTCCTGGATTCAAGCAATTCTCATGCCTCAGCCTCTTGAGTAGCTGGGATTATAGGTGCCCGCCATCATACCTGGCTAATTTTTGTATTTTTATTAGAGACGGGGTTTTACCATGTTGGCCAGGCTGGTCTCGAACTCCTGACCTCAAGTGATCCGCCTGCCTTGGCCTCCCAAAGTGCAAGGATTACAGGCGTGAGCCACCACACCCAGCCAAGCCTGACTTTCATGAGATTTGGGGTAACTACAAGAGTCTGTGACCTTTTTCTTCTCTTTTCGCTGATGCTGTAAGAGCTGCCACCTTGGCTTTCTCGTCTCAAGACTGAGGATCTGGGTACAGTCCTAACTGGGGATCTGGATACAGTTCTAATGGGACAGCCAGGCTGGGAAGATGTAGCAGCAGACACAGCAGGCTTCTAGCCTCCAGCCATTTCAGGAAAATAGCTGACCACGTGTTTCCAGCCATTCAGTAGAAAATTCAAGCTCTGTTCTCCGTTGAGATGGTCAACACAGTGAAATGGGACATCACAGACAGCTGGGGGGAGCTAAACCCCAAAGAAGGGCAAGTAACTTGTCCCAGACTCGTTTGCTGGGCTGGCAGATGAATCAGGAGTTCCTGGCCCTATTTGGCATGCTACCTCTTAAGCCTCATTCCTTCCATATGTGGACTAGCTACATGTGGACGGCTGGCCCACATCTAGCAGTGTGGTGTGGAGGTATGACTGGGCCAGTCGTGTGAGTGGTAGTCAGAGGGGTGGGCACTTACAGTGTGCTGGCCATCACTTCCATACGTCCTCATTTAATCCTTACAGCTTAATTTTAGGGAGTCCGTATGTGATCCATTTTAGAGACAAGCAAATTGACGCTCAGAGAGGAAAGTAACTTGCCCAAGATCATTCAGCTACGAAGGGGTGAATCTGTATTGATTGAATCCCAGCTCCTGTTTTCCTAACCATTGACCTGTACAGCCTGAACCCTGACCTCAGGAACTTCTCTTGTCCCTTCTGCAGGGCCTCTGTCCCCAAGAGCTGGGAAGGCAATTAAGAAGGAGCCAAGTGTCCCTCTAAGGCACTCCATGAACTCTGAGAAACAGGTTTCCTTTTAAGGCAATTTGGCCTCCCTACAGGCAGAATTTGGCTGTTGGAGAGAAGGGGCTGGGCAGAAAGGGAGTTGGTAGAGTGGAGACTGAGCCCCGCCTGTTGCCAGGGTTCCCTCCAGCTGAGCCTCTTCCCCACAGGCAGGGTCACCTGGAGGGATCCTCTTGTGGGCAGAGGGGAACAGGACCCCATCCACAGGCACCGCCTGAAACCCTTCCTGGGTTTAGGGACAGAGTCATCACTTTTCATCTCAAGGCAATAGAGCCCTGTCCCTTCACTGGGCTCTTGAGGGGAGACCCTCCTACCCTTACCCCAACTAAATGACCAGGCTCAAAGAGCAGCCTAGCTAAAAGCTAAGAGGTGTCCTGAGCAGATTTTCCTTACTGGCAGGTCCTTGGGTTTCACCCATTTCTCCGCCCATGGTCCTGATTCCCTGGGGCCCTGCTGGATGTGGGCCCCTGACACAGAGCCAGGGAAAACAAGGGGAGGCCTGTATGGAGCTGTGGGTCTCCCCCAGAGAGAGAAGGGCTTTTGTGTCTGTAACAAAACAGTGTTTGGAACTGGCTCCCAACCATGTGGCTGGGGGAATTTTCCTCCCTTAGGGGTGTTCCTGGGGGCCTGAGTATGTCCCCTGCTGGTTCAGGGGGTTGGAGAAGGCTGAGGAAGAGGGCCAGCACTGATGTATTGTATGCCTACCACGAGCAGCCCCTCTTAAGTATGCAAGGGCCACAGCATTGTGATTGGAGCACAGAGAACTCAGAAATAGATGAGCTTGCATTAGAGTCCCAGGTCTATCTCTTCCAGCTGTGTGACTATAAGCAAGTTGCCTAACCGCTCTGAGCCTTGCTTGTCTTGTCTGTAAGGTGGGCATACGTTCTTTATCTGCGGATGATGAGGATGAAATGAGATGATGCGGCTGGGAACGGTGGCTCATGCCTATAATCCCAGCACTTTGGGAGGCCGAGGCAGGCAGATCACTTGAGGTCAGGAGTTCAAGACCAGCCTGGCCAACATGGTGAAACCTCGTCTGTAAAAAAAACAAACAAACAAACAAAAAAAACACAAAAATTAGTCAGGTATGGTGGCAGTGGCGGGTGCCTATAATCCCAGCTACTCAGGAGGCTGAGGCATGAGAATTGCTTGAACTCAGGAGATGGAGGTTGCAGTGAGCAGAGATTGTGTCACTGCACTCTGGTCTCTGTGACAGAGTGAGACTCCATCTCAAAAAAAATAAAGAGATGATGCAGATGAGCCATCTGATGCATAGTAGGCATTCAGTCCATGGCAGTGTGGGTGCCGTGGCTGAGTTCCAAGGGTCACACTGAGTCACCTGATCAGAGGGAGAGGAGATCCTGTGTGGGTCTGTACAACTGGACACATTATCACAAAAGCTTCCCAAGCAGACCTCCCTTCACATCTCACTGGCCAGAAATGGTCTCAGGCTGTTCCTGATCCAGCCACTGGCAGGGGAATAGAATCTCTGTGGCTGGCTTAGGGGACACAGACTCTGTTCCTCCATCTGGGGAAAGGGCATCTCCGCAGTCACTCACTGGCCTGAATAAAATCGGGATTTGTAGCAAGGAAGAATTGGGAAATGGCTGATGGTTAGGCCGACCATGATACACGTTGCTGATTGCCATTCCTGTCTAACTCTCCTTCATATTGTATGGTTTTCAGCCCCAAACCTTTGCTTGACAAGGGCAGCTAGCAGTCCTCAGAACAGAAAGAGGCTGAAGGAACAGCGTGACATCAGAGGCTGGGAACGGGGACTGTCTCTGGATCTGGGGGCTCAGGCCCCATGGGTTATCTGAGGAAGATAGAGATGGGGATGTGAGCAGTTACAGAAATTCCTGCCAGGTGTGTCAGCGAAGTGTGGGAGCCTGAGGAGGTGTGGCTGGTCCAGAACCTGGGAAAGGGAGAACTGGGCTTATACAGCAGGCACCGTCTACCTAGATCCCCCAGCATCACCAATACCACTTCCCCACAGTAAGCTCTGCCTCTCAGCCTGCACACACTTACCAAGCACCTCCACTGGGAACCAGGCTCTGCAGAGATTCACCATGTAGAGAGAATGGCCCCAGAAGCCATGGCTTTCAATATCAATTCATCCTTCATTCATTCCTCAGCTATTTCCTGGCCACTTATATGAACAGCTACATGCCAAGTGCTATGCAGGGCGTGGGGACAGAGTGGTGAACGTGACCTGGATCCCTACTTGAGCTGAGGCCTGTGTCGCCCTCAGATGGGAAGCTCTCCAGTAGTGGAGACTCTCCCTCTGCCCTTGACATTGACTCTTTAGCTGCTGGCACGAGCCCTATTACCAGGAGGGTGGGCTCTGGTTGCCACATCCTTGTTTTCAACATTTCCATGCCACAGGTTCCGTGAGCTCTCTCCTTAGGCTCCTTTGCCTCCTGAGGCAACAGACCCCTCTGACTCCCAGCCCCTTTATTTCCCAGCACCTCCCTGTGTCCTTTACTCACCATGTCCTGGGCAACCCCCGGCACCAAGCCTGTACCCACTGTAGGTGGTGCTTTGTATAGCCCTTCCCCCATGAACTTCTGTTGAAAGAGCTGGAAGGACGGTCTCTCTCCTTCAGCCATGTCTGTTGAGTGAGTGAGTGAAATGGAAGGAGAGAAGCAGGCCCCATCTGTTCTCCACACTCACTAGTGTTACCTTCTGTGCTGCTCTGTGGCCATGCAGGCACTGACCTGAGGCATCGCCTGGACTTCTGTGTGCCGTGTATGTGCCAGGCACTGTGCCTTGCCTTTGACGTATCATATCTCATTTAATCGCCAGACATACTCGGTGAAGTCACGATTTTTATCTGCTTTTTTTTTTTTTTTTTTTTTTTGAGATGGAGTCTCACTCTGTCGCCTGGGCTGGAGTGTCATGGTGTGATCTTGGCTCACTGCAACCTCTGCCTCCCAGGTTCAAGCAATTCTCCTGCCTCAGCCTCCTGAGTGGGTGGGATTACAGGCGGGCGCCACCACACCCGGCTAATTTTTCTATTTTTAGTAGAGATGGGGTTTCATCATGTTGGTCAGGCTGGTCTCAAACTCCTGACCTCATGATCCGCCTGCCTCAGCCTCCCAAAGTGCTGGGATTACAAGCATAAGCCACCGCGCCCAGCTTTTATCCTTATTTAACAGATACAGAAATCGAGGTTTGGAAAGACTGACTGTCTTGCCCAAGGTCACACAGCCAGTGAGTGACAGGATCAAGATTGAGCCAAACCTGCCTGGCATCGGGACCCCAGATCTGAACCAACATCTAGAGCATCTCAAAGTTGGTCCAGGCCACCTGCTTTGTTTGCCTGGGGTGCTTGTTAAAAATTCAGACTCAAGTACCTCATTCTCTCAAGTACCTCATTCTCAGAGCTTCTAATTCATTAGATGTGGGGTGGTGTTACTAAATCTGATTTTGTAAAAGCGCCTCCTCTGAAGCTTGATAACTCTGCCCTGTGTGCCTACCCGTGCTTTTTTTTTTTTTTTTTTTTTTTTCTTTTTGAGACAGAGTCTTGCTCTGTTGCCCAAGCTGGAGTGCAGTGGCACTATCTTGGCTCACTGCTATCTCCACCTCCCAGGTTAAAGTGATTCTCCTGCCTCAGCCTCCCGAATAGCTGGCATTACAGGGGCATGCCACCACACTCGGCTAATTTTTGTATTTTTAGTAGAGACGGTGTTTCACCATGTTGGCCAGTCTGATCTGGAACTCCTGACCTCAGGTGATACGCCCACCTCAGCCTTCCAAAGTGCTGAGATTACAGGCATTAGCCACTGCACCCAGCCCTGCTTTTTTTAAAAAAACAAAACAAAACCAAACCCTTTTTTCTTGTGGTGAACTATAGCTTATATACAAAAGTATGCACAATGTACAGTTCAAATAATAATTATAAAGTAAGCCCCCATATGACAACTATCCAAGTTAAGCAGGAGAGCATTGCCAGGCAGTGCCTTGCCAGCCTACCTGGTCTCCCACCCAGTCATGGTCCCTTCCCTCCCTTGGAGGTAACTCTTCTAAGGTAAAAGCTTGTGATCATCATTCCCTTGCTTTTCTGTAGTAACTTTTCCACCCATGTGTCCATCCCTTGACAATATGAGTTTAGCCCATTTGTGAATTTCATACAAATGGACGGACTTGCGTTTTCCCAGCTCTGGTCTGTCTGCTTCTTCCCTTCGACATTCTCTTTGAGACATGTATAGGGGTAGGCAGTCCATTTTTATTGTCGCTGCAGGCTTCTTTATAAAGCCTGTTTCTTCTACTGATCCATATCCTTCAGAGTGCCTAGCACAGGGCTGAAAATGCAGCAGCTGCTCTGTAAAGACCTGTTGATTACACTGGGGGAGGAAATCCCTGAGTAACGTGTGAGGATGCTGTCGAGAGCTAGCAGAAAGTGCTCTGCCAGGCCTGGTGGCCCCACTAGGCATTCTGCCCTTCATCTTTCTCTCCTCCGGCTCTGGCTGTTGAATTTCTGTCATGGACAATCTGAGATATTTCCATCTCCCTGTAAAATTAATTCCCATTTCTGTGTCCCTTTTCAGAATGCCGAACTGGGGAGGAGGCAAGAAATGTGGGGTGTGTCAGAAGACGGTTTACTTTGCCGAAGAGGTTCAGTGCGAAGGCAACAGCTTCCATAAATCCTGCTTCCTGTGCAGTGAGTACGCCCCAGGCCCTGTTGCTGTTGTCTTGGACACCCTGGACAGGCCTGCCCCCACAGGCTGGGCCTGTCAACACCCCAGGGAACTGGTCCCGTGGGATGTAAACAGCTTGACATTTGGCTGAAGCGCAGCTGGGCAGGGAAGCACTTAAGGGCCTCTTTGTTCCGTTCAGAAGCTTCTTTCTAAGGGATAAACTGGCCAGAGTGGGTCGGGGTGGCAGGCGTTCAGGGGCTGAAAGCCAAGCTGTAAAGACTTGGTTAAGAAAACTTTCCACTCAGTTCTCTCTTCTCTCTCTCCCTGCCATGATTTCATCATTTCAGAGTAAAACACTTTCAGCCCTTTGGACCCTAATTATATCTTGTTCAAAGGAAACAGAGGCCACAACCTCATGGCAAAGCTGAGTCTGGAGGAAGAGCGGGGCTCCTCCTTCCTCAGCCCCTTGCAGCCCGGCCCATTCACTTCTTCACTTCCCATTCCCACTTAGCCTGGGATGAGAGGAAGGGGGAGTGCAAAGTTCCCTGATATCTACTCCTAAGAAGCCGGAGCAAGGTTTGCTCCAGTCACAAGCCTAGATTAGTAGGAAATCAGACAAAAGATGCCAAGCAACTCACAGAGGTCAGGTCGACCCAGGGATCCTGATACCGTGATGCTGTACCCACTGGTACTTGGACCAGGTGATGTTTCCAGGATGTGGCAACTTGGAGAAGCCTCTCCTCAGGTTCCTAAATGAGTTGGTTCATTGTGATCAGAGCAGAAGGCCTGGGTTAGAAGAAGAGGCAAGGTGCATTTTCTTTCCTAAGACAGAGTCTCACGCTGGCACCCAGGCTGGAGTGCAGTGTCTCACTGCAACCTCCACCTCAAATGATCCTCTCACCTCAGCCTCCTGAGTAGCTAGGACTACACATGCATGCCACCATGCTCGGCCAATTTTTAAAAAAAATTTCAGAGAGACAGGGTCTCCCTATATTACCCAGGCTGGCCTTGAGCTCCTGGGTTTAAGCAGTCTGCCCACCTCAGCCTCCCAAAGTGTTGGGATTACAGGTGTGAGCCACTATGCCCACCAAGGTACATTCTCCATGAGGGTAGGCAGAATGGATGGTAGCAGAATGTCTTAGTTAAAAAAGATTCGGTGTTTATTATCTGTGTGATGATGGACAAGTTACTCAGTTTCTCTGGTTGAGTTTTCTCATTATTACAGTGGAGGTAATAATAGTTACCTCGTGGGATTGTTGTGAGAATTAAAATGAAAGAAGCTTGTGAAACAAAGCACTTAAAATAATTATGAGTGTTGAAGAAATGATATGCACACACACGCACACATGCACACACACACATACACGCACACTGCTGAGGGATCTATAGCAAGAGGGTGTGATAAAAGAAGCCCTCACCAGGGGCTGAGGCCCCAGCCCATCTGGGAGATCCAAGAATGGGGTCCTGTCTGTTCCGCATTACATGAAGCAAAGTTTCATGATTTGTGCTCCAGAGTAGGATCCAGATGGGCCAAGAGCCACCTGTTCAATGACCATTTGCATCTCTGCCTGTCGCTAGGCAGACCAACCTGAGGCCACCCCGCATAGGGCAGCAGGGGCCCCACATCCTGCTCAGCTGGGCCTGGAGTGACAGCTCCAGGGCTGCGTCTGATGAATGGGGAGTAAACAAGGTTTAGTGGAGCTTTGTTGGCTTCCAGCCTGCAAAGGAGGCCAGAAACAGCAGCGTCTTGTTATCAGCAGTTCACTACTCTTAGGAATTTCTAAGCCGTTTATCTTTCCAGAGGGAATAAGAGAGAGCTTGGCGCTGGCTGGGAAGGGGGTCTAGGCTGCTGGGATCCTAAGGGCCCCTCTCTTTGCTCTCAGATGTTGCTTAATCACTGACCATAAGGGGTCAGCTGTGGGTGGGAGTGCCCGCCTGTAGACCTGTTTGTGGAGTAGTCGGTCAGAGGGTTGAGGGAAGTCAGGAATTCAGGGGGTGGCATAGGAAGGAAGGAGCAGGGCCTGGGGCAGGGTGTGAGGGGCGTTGCGGATGAGAAACAGTTGTAGAAAGTCAGGCTGGGGAACAGGGCTCCAGGGAGGGTGGGGGGCGGTGGGTGGGGGTGTTATGCAATGAGCAGCCGCAGGAAGCAGTCTCAGGTCACACTAGGGTCTCAGGGCCGGTGCGGCCCTTAGGTATCAGAGCACCAAGTGGACCCCCTAGCACTGCACATGTCCTAGCAGGCTGAGCCATCTTCACAACTTGCTCATTCCTCATGCCTAGCACAGTGCCTGGCACACAGTGGGTTCCTGACAAAGATTTGTTTATGAATGGAAGAAGCATCATTTCTCTTTTCCAGTGAAGTGGGTGATAAGTGTCCACCCCATTCAGGGTGCCCACTGAATCAAAGGACTTTCCTTCCCAAAGAAGGGAGAGGCTAGCCAGGTCTGGGCCAAGGGCAGTAAGGGCCACCTCCCTCACTGGCCAGGCCTGGATGGGTCCCCAAAAACAGTTGTGACCGTGTGGGTCCTTGGCTCCAGATTCTACTCAGCTTGCCCACCTACATGCCTGTATTAGTCTACTCTCATACTGCTAATAAAGACATACCTGAGACTAGGCAATTTATAAGAAAAGAGGTTTAACAGACTCACAGTTCCACATGGCTGGAGAGGCCTCACAATCATGGCAGAAGGCAAAAGAGAAGCAAAGGCATGTCTTACATGGTGGCAGGCAAGAGAGCTTGTGCAGGGGAACTCCCATTTATATAACCATCAGATCTTGTGAGACATTTTCACTATCACAAGAACAGTATGGGGGAAGCTGCCCCCATGATTCAATTATCTCCATTTGGCCCCACTCTTGACACATGGGAATTATTACAATTCAAGGAGAGATTTGGGTAGGAATGCAGCCAAACCATATCAGTGCCCTTTCCTGAGGGTCTGAATGGGCAGAAGGAAGACATGATGATGTCATAGGCAAAGTTGGGGAGAATGACCTTCACTCTGGGCTTGGCCTGGGAGCGGGAACTGAGAAGGCCTGCAGTACACTACCATGGTCTTGAAAGGGGCTGCCAGATCCTATGAGCAGATGGTGGTTCAGAGGCTGGTGGGAAAGCTCAGCTCCGTGGCTGGGAACCTGCCCTGAGGCTATGTGCCCATCTCTGAGCTGTACCCACCTCCTTCCTGGGGAAGGTTGGGTTTAGCAGCCAGCTGTGAGGAAAGAAGAGCTCTGTGATGGTGGTCGATGGAACAGGGCCCTGCAGTTTGGCCCTGGGCTGTTCCCTAGAATCCAAGAGCACAGGGGAAGCTCATGGAAGCCTTGTGCACCCTCTGACACCAGCGTCTCCTCACCCGCAGGCTGAGGCTTACTGTCACTTTTCACCCTCCCAGCGCCACATGCATGGCCCACTGGAGGGGAGCCATGGCTGGCAGAAAACAACCAGGTCTGGAGGTCAGGGGCTGGGTTCTGGCCTGGCCCTGCATCTGGCCAACACGTGATCTGGAACTGTTTTGTGGGCCTTGGTTTTCCTTCTAGAAGCAGAGAATCATTCTCCATTTCTGAGTGGGGTAAGGGGCCTCTGACCTCTCCCCTGGGGCTGCCTTTTCCCTGTATTTCCAAGCAGCATCACAAGGGCCCACCGAAGTGACATCTGGAAGTATGCATTTCCAACAAATCCAGTCTTTTTTTTCCCCCCCTTATTGGCTTACCGTGATATGGTAGAAATTTATTCAGGCCTGCCTTCAAAATTCTCCTTGATTGAGTCTTTGGTGGATCTTACAAGTGAGCTGCAGAGTCTCTCACTACATCACCTGGATGGAGGTAGAGGGGCAGAAGGCCACCATGGGCAGGATTGGGCCTCTGGGAGAACAGAAGGGCCAAGGCAAAGCAGAAAGGAGCAGGGAGGTCCTAGGTAGGGGAACCATCTGGAAGATGTCAACTTGCAGGCCCTGAGGTCTGCCCTGGGCTGAGTTCCTGGGTCTCCTACTGGAGAGATCAGCCAAAAGATACCTCTGTTCCCCCAAACACTCTGCCTTCTCTCTGGTCTTGGAATTTTCAGTTCAATTTGGATCTTACAGGAAAACAATTCCAGGCCAATTCCTGACTTCCCACCCTAGAAGGGAATGTTGGAGCCCTTGGCCTGTGGTTTGCTCTCCCTCCTTCTTGGGAACCAGGCCCTGGGGGAATGGTGGGAAGTTCCATATTTGGATGGCCCAGAGTGCTGGAATGAGATAGAGATCTCCAGGGCAGGACAAGAGGGTCCTTATTTAGTCTGAAGTCTCCAACCTGGGGCTTAGGGTGAGAGAGGAGCAGGCAGAGGGCTGGACCTTTTAAAGACAAGAGGATGGCAGTTGCAAGGAAAGGAGCTGAGAGCTTCTCCGAGGGTGGTAAGAGGCGTGGCTTCTCCAGTGGTATCCCTCGGTTTCTATGTTCAGGACATATTTGAGGATGCGTCCAACTGAGATGCAGAACTCCAATATTTAAGGAATATGATCAAACCGAATTAGGATTACAGGACAAGTAAAGAAATAGAATGCAGTTGAATCCCTTGAGAGGAGTATGTGGAGGTTAGAAGCAATGATCTCTTGAGGCCGGGACCTGTCCCTCCCACTTCCTTGTCTCCTGATGGTACTAACTTTATATAATACTAATAAGAGTAGCCAACATTTATTATGCACTTGTTGTATGCAGGGTATTGTGCCAAGTACTTCACATGTCAGATCTCATTTGATTCTCACCACTGGCTTTTGGGGCAGACATTATGTTCATTTACAAAATGAGGACACAGAGGCTGGACAGGCAAAATAACTTGCACACATCTGGAAAGGGAGAGAGCTGGCATTCAATTCTGGGCAGTCTGACTCTTCATGACCCCAGGCTCTGAACTGTTTCAACTTTATTTTTATTTTTAAAAGTTTTATTTATTTATTTATTTTTAAATAAATAGAGACAGGGTTTTGCCATCTTCCCCAGGCTGGTCTCACACTCCTGGGCTCAATAATCCTCTAGCCTTGGCCTACCACTGCTGGAACTACAGGCATGAGCCACTGAGCCCAGCCAAAACTGTTTTACTCTAGATAGCTGGGCATAGCTCCCCTCTGAGATTAACAGAATGAAATAGGAGGCCCACAGCCTTTCCAGCTCAGACCATTGCAATCCTTAGTTCCTCCCATTCCACTCTGTCTTACCTCAGGACTCAGGAAGTTCTCAGTGTCTGACCTCGCTTCTTCCCATGGCAAAGTGATTTCTGAGATTAGAAACTTCAAATCCTCTTGTGATTAGCATGAGCTGCATCTCGTTTCAAAGCCCACCATGTTGGGCACTTAATAAATATTAAACATTTCTTATGGGGTATCACATCACCTGCATCTCTCCCCATTGGCTCCCTGCCAGCATGCACAGATAGTCTCTTCTGGATTCCATTGTTGAAGGCAGGAAAACTCTGCCCTTCTTCTTTTCTTTTTTCTCCTCCCTCATTGGGACATACAGTCTCTGTTGAGGGCAGAGTGAGGAACCTCAACAGGCATTGTGTGACTTGGGGTCAGCCTAGGCTGTTGCCTCTGAACCCTGTGTTGCACTGCAGCCTAGGAAGGTTGGGAGTGCAGAGGACCAAAGGAGACACACAGGGAGTCCTGGAAGAAGAATTGGTGTTGGTCAGCATTTCTAGAGTCAGACATGCAGATCCCATCCCTCTGTCCTCCCACCCATTGGTCATCCCACCTGCCTCCATTTCTAGACAGTTCCTGAAAGATCAGGATATTATGTATGCAAAGAGCCCAGAGAGCTTCAGCTGTAGGAAGCTTGCAGTGAGCAAGCAGCTCACCCCAGCTTCAACTCACCGCCTCCGCTTCCCCTCCACAGTGGTCTGCAAGAAGAATCTGGACAGCACCACTGTGGCCGTGCATGGTGAGGAGATCTACTGCAAGTCCTGCTATGGCAAGAAGTATGGGCCCAAAGGCTATGGCTATGGGCAGGGCGCAGGCACCCTCAGCACTGACAAGGGGGAGTCTCTGGGCATCAAGCACGAGGAGTGAGTAAAAGATCCTCTCCCAACCTTTTTCTTGAGCTCTCTCCCCCACCCCTGTATTAGGCCTCACGTGTATTTGCAACCATTTTTGGGTAAGCAATGGAAGGCTCAGAAAACCAGTTATTTAAAAGGCACCACAGAGCAGCGCCTATGTGTCAGGCTGCTGCAGGAGCTGGGCATTCAGCAGGGACTAAAACAGGCCAGGCTCCTCCCTGCAAGAAGCATGCATTCTATATTTGTATAAGGGTCAGAGCTGGGAGGGGCCCAAGAATTACTTAGTTCAATTTCCTCTTTTTGTTCAATTTCCCCTTTTTGAAAGGGAATCTTGCTCTGTTGCCCAGGCTGGAGTGCAGTGGTGCAATCTTGGCTCACTGCAGCCTCTGCTTCTTGGGCTCAAGTGATCCTCTCGCCTCAGCCTCCCAAGTAGCTGGGAGTATAGGCGTGTGCCACCACACCTGGCTAATTTTGTATTTTGTAGAGACAGAGTTTTGCCATGTTACCTCCTCTTTTTATAGATGAGAAAATCCAGCCCAGGCTCAGTGACTTGCCTGGGGTCCCACGGCTAGTGAGTGTCAGAGTGAGACCAGGGGCTCAGGGCAGCACCACTGCCACACCAGCCTCACTCTCAGCCCTGCTGTCTCTCACTACTGAGGAGAAGTCATTTCCCTTTCTTGGAAATGCCATAGGGTGTCATCAGCCCCACCACCCCCCGTTACCCCACAGCACTCCCTGGCCTCTGGGTAAACGGTGGCTGTTGGCAGTCAGCCTGGCTGGCTCCTCAGCCTGGGGAGGTGGACAGAAATGATGGATGAGTTACCAAGTTTCAGCCAAGGTCATTGCCCCAGTGGGAATGATTCATCAGCAGATTTCTCCTGGAAAGAATCTGCTAATAGACCAGCTGCAGGAATGAGGGGCAGAGGAGGGCAATTCTTAGCAAATGGGGTGTTAAATGAATCTGGAGTTAACTGGGTGACCGAGGGAAGTATGATGTTATAATGGAAATAACATTGTGCTGAGGCTTGGTTTGTCCATCTGTAAAATGGGAGATGACCCTAGAGGCCCTAGCCTTTGTGACTCTGGCAGAGAGAACTGCCCGCTGCTCTGGCATGAGATGAAGGTAGGGTCATGCCCTCTCAGTGCCAGCCCCACCTATACTTACATTGTAAGTCACCACCCCATGCCCTTCTCCATGCAGAGCCCCTGGCCACAGGCCCACCACCAACCCCAATGCATCCAAATTTGCCCAGAAGATTGGTGGCTCTGAGCGCTGCCCCCGATGCAGCCAGGCAGTCTATGCTGCGGAGAAGGTGATTGGTGCTGGGAAGGTAAGGCGGCTGCTGGGCATGAGAGGGATCGGGGGAGATATCTTCCTGATATGTGGATTCCAGAACTTTTAAATTGGTGACCCTAGCTCTGCTCAGGGCAGCCTGAGCACTGGGGTTTAACCTCTTCCCTTTGTCCCTGTGGATTGCATGTACCTGTGCTTTCCAGTCTCCAAGGAGCTCATATCAGCCATGAGCAGTAACATCCCTAGCATTGATGGACAATGGGCCATTCATAGGGAGTGACAATGATCAATTTGTATCTCCAATATTGGAGAACAGAATGTAAGGGTACATGGATGGGCTGCAGAGGGTCCACAAAGCCCCGAAAATTATATGCAAAGTTTCATGGGAACATGTCTGCTTCTTAGATCCATAGCTTTTATCAGATTTTCAAAGGATTTGTGATCCCAAAAATATACATTCTGTTTCATGGAATGTGGACTCCCAGAAACCCATCCAAATACCCCCAGGGCAGAGATTTTCAAGGTTCAGGCCTATCAGAGCCTCCTAGGAGGCTTTTTTCACACTGTTTAGAATTGCCACACATGCTCTTCCCCCATGATATTCTGACAGTAGCCCCCAATCACCAATGCACAGTGAGAATCACCGTAGCAAACCGACAGTTCCCAATTGAGCCGATCACTTCCTTCAGATAGGCCGCAGTAGAGAAGAGGTAGAACTCTTGCCCCCGGGGTTTGCAGTGTCAGATTAGCAGTCAGAAAATCACAGAGGAGGTGTCTTTCAGCTATGAGGCCAGAGAGGATTTCTGGAGCATCATGTGAGGCCTGAGATAGAAAAGTGACTTGGCCAAGATCACACAACAAGGTTATGGAACTCCTGGGCCTAGAGCCCATCTTCAGCTCTTCTGGATTTGGGTTTTGGCTTTGAAGGCTTTTTGACCTTGAGAAATGGGATAAGGGAATGGATCAAGAAATGTTGAGCAACTAACACTTAGGCCAAGGTTAGACTCTCTACTCTCACAGTCATGGTTGGACGGAGATGGGGATTAGTATCCCTGTTGTACAGATGAAGGAACTGGGAGTCAGAAGGATTACATAACTTGCCTGGATCTGCTAGGAAGGGGCTAAGCCAGGCTCAAGCCCAGGTTTGTCTGACTCTGAAGCCCTTGCTCTTACTACTGTTACTACTGTTAATGCTACTTTGGGCCATTTAGCCTCTTTGAACCCATTTCCAAGGCTGCAAAATGGGAAGGGATTGTTAATCCTAGCATGGTAATTAAGACCTTAGACTCTAGACAGCCTGCTTTGAATCCTAGTTTTGCCATTTATTGGCTGAGTGGCCTTGGGAAAATTTATCCTTCCTAAGTTTCAGTTTTGCAGCTCTAAAGTGGACCTGAATAGTGGAGGAAATGCAAAGTGGACCAAGTAATGGTCCCTGACAAATAAGGCAGTTTTTTTGTTTGTTTGTTTTTGTTTTGTTGTTGTTGTTGTTGTTTTTGGCAGAATTTCACTCTTGTTGTCTAGGCTGGAGCGCAGTGGCGCAATCTTAGCTCACTACAACCTCCGCCTCCCAGATTCAAGCGATTCTGCTGCCTCAGCCTCCTGAGTAGGTGGGACTACAGGCATGTGCCACCACACCCAGCTAATTTTTGTAGTTTTAGTAGAGATGGGGTTTCACCATGTTGGCCAGGCTGGTCTTGAACCAGCCTGGACCTCATAATCCACCTACCTTGGCCTCCCAAAGGTCTGGGATTGTGAGGTGTGAGCCACCACGCCTGACTACCAGGCAGTTTTAATGATTAAATGAGATAATACATGTTTAACATGCAATGTAGTACCTGGTATGTCCTCAGTACAGTTTTGCTATTGTTATTATTATTATTGTTTATTTTCAGGGATTGTTATGAGGTCACAATGAAGATCCTTGCCATTGACTAAAGGATATGAAAACAGGAGACATTAATACTATTGTTAAGTTGGGTTTTTTGTTCTATCTCACTATGAGAATAGAAAATTATTAAGAATAGCTAAGAATCACTATTTCCATTACTTAGGCAGGCTATAAGGTAAAGTTAGGGCTGTACTAAGGAGTAAGATAAGATAATTTTGCATTCAAGTGGAAAAGGTAGGGAGAAGCCCCCACCTTTCTATTGCCTCGCTCAAGAAATGTTGAGGAGCTGGGAATACGTTTGGGTGCTTATGAATAGCAAAGGGATTCAGCTTATTTTGAATAAGCTGGGGAGTGGCTAGGAAATATGAGGAGAGGTGTTGGTCTAGGTGTGATTCAGTTTTTCTCCAGCCTGGAGAGCTTGGGGTAGCAGCCCCTTGCTTTATAGAGGAGGCAGCAAAGCCTGGGTGACTACTGAGGTTGCACTGGCACCGACCTAGACCCAGGTCCCCCAATTTCAGCTCTTTGGAGAAGAAGCCAATGGGCAAGGTTAGGCAACCAGGAAATCTGAGGGGATGAATTTCCCTTCTCATCCGCCAGCCTGGGCACTAGGAGTGTCTTTGCCCTTAAAAGGCCTTGTTTTGTCTTATCTGACTGCTGCCTGCCTCTTGCTTTTCCTGGGTTAAGCGGAGCTGTCTACACATCAGCCTCTTAGCCTGCCCAGCTGTTGATGGGAGCTGGCTTCTAAGAAGTCTGTCTGTGCAATGTCCCATCACTGTGTACAAACTTGGGCCTCACTTTTTTTTTTCTGGGAGAGCTGTTTGCCCTGTGTTACAGAATGGATGTGAGGACTAGATTAAACATATGATGCCTGGTCACAGAGAAGGTATTTGTAATTGGGATTCTCCTGGACCAGCCTAGCCTCTGAAGTTCTAGAATTAGGTGCCTCCTTTGCCCAAAGGCTATCAGCTATTGGAGGGTAGGGTGGCAGTATGTCCCCCACTGGGTAGCTGTGAACATTAACTGACTTCACCAGTGTAAAGTGCCTGGCACAGGGCCTGGCACAGAGGAAGCCAGAGTCAATGTTGTCTAGTATCACTTTGGAAGGAGAATAAGTCTATGAAATTGCATTAAACTCAGCAGGGGAAGTCCTAAGGAGTGTAGTTTCTCCAGGGGCCACAGAAGACCCTTTGTGTCTCTATGAGATGTCCCAAGGCAACACGGGGCAGAAAGGTCTTCCTGGTGAGGGCTGTTCAAGTACTAAGTGACAGTACCAGGAGGAGTGCAAAGCCCTGGCTCACACCACTGATCTACTGGCAAGATGGGTCTGGAGAAGGCTCATCTGGCCCAGCCAGTGGGGGGAACAGCTACCTTGGTGTTAAACCCACCCCCTCACCTGCCTTTTGTGGTATAGCTGGTGACCCTAATCATCAGGCCATTGCAACATAGCATGGAAGATGGTGCGAGGTGGCATGTGGTCCCTGGCCTTCTCCCTCTACTGCCTTGCACCATGGGCCATGTCCTCCCAGCAGCACCAGTTGAGCAGACTTCAGAAGTGGCTTGAGCCCTTATACCATGGTTATGTCAAAGGGAGTGGGCCTGGGGTGGAGGGTACCCTCATCACGGGTGGCAGCCATTAACTATTTCCTTCCCTGCCTAGTCCTGGCATAAGTCCTGCTTTCGATGTGCCAAGTGTGGCAAAGGCCTTGAGTCAACCACCCTGGCAGACAAGGATGGCGAGATTTACTGCAAAGGTGGGTGTTTTCACTTCTAATTGAGGGTCAGGAGGCCCAAGGGGGTGCAGGGGCTAAGTAGTCTTGCCTTTGCTGAATATAAACTAATTCCTGGCCTTGGGATCCAAGATCCTGAACATCTAGTATGATTCCTTCATTGTACAGATGAGGAAACAAGACCAGAGGGGGAAAGCAACTTGGCCAGCATCATCTGGCAAATCGAGGCAGGCATAGAGCTAGACTCTGGCTTCCTAACTCCCAGTCCAATGCTCTTACAGCAGATGATGCTTCTGTAATTTCAGTGGCTGGGGCAATGGGTACAGGGTGGAACCAAGAGCCTCTTCACCATTTTACTATTGAGACTGGGGTGCTGTGGAGGTGAGGGGGTCCTAGTGGACCTTTCTTCCCTAGCGGCCTGGCTGGGCACTAGGAGTGGGGGATCTTCAGCAGGAGGGTGGGTGGTGCGGCTGGGGGTGGAGGAGGAACACGCCCTTATTTCACTTCTCTCTCCTCTCTCTGCAGGATGCTATGCTAAAAACTTCGGGCCCAAGGGCTTTGGTTTTGGGCAAGGAGCTGGGGCCTTGGTCCACTCTGAGTGAGGCCACCATCACCCACCACGCCCTGCCCACTCCTGCGCTTGTCATCGCCATTCCCTTCCCAGCAGCTTTGGAGACCTCCGGGTTCATTTCTCTCATGCCTGCCACAGATCACTAATGACTTGAACTTGGGCATCTGGCTCCCTTTGGTTTGGGGGTCTGCCTGAGGTCCCACCCCACTAAAGGACTCCCCAGGCCTGGGATCTGACACCATCACCAGTAGGAGACCTCAGTGTTTTGAGTCTAGGTGAGAGCAGGCCCCTCTCCCCACACTTCACCCCACAGAGCTCTGTTCTTAGCCTCTTGCGCTGCACGTCCACCATCAGCTGGCCAAGACACCTGGGGACACATCTTGGCGCCCAGAGGAGCAGCAGCAATAGGCTGGAGGGAGAGGGAAGCAAGACAAAGATGAGGAGGGGGGAAGGCTGGGTTTCTTGGATCCCAGAGATTCTCCTCTGTGGGAAAGAAGGTGGGTTTCCTGGTGTCCCTCAGAGTAAGCCTGAGGAGTCCCAGCTTAGGGAGTCACTACCACAGGCAGAGAGGCAGGCAGCGGGGTCCTAGGAGCCGCTGCTTCTCCAGGCCTCTTGCTTTAGAGACTTTGTGGAACGGATAGCCTCCCACTAGGAGTGGGAGGAGAATAACCCAGGTCTAAGGACCCCAAAGTCAGGATGTTATTTGATCTTCTCAGACATCTAGTTCCCTGCTTGATGGAGGGATCCTAATGAAATACCTGAAACATACATTGGCATTTATCAATGGCCCAAATCTTCATTTATCTCTGGCTTAACCCTGGGTCCTAAGGCTGTGGCCAGCAGAGCCCAGGCCAGGGTTCTGTTCTTGCCACACCTGCTTGATCCTCAGATGTGGAGGAAGGTAGGCATAGCCTCAGTCTTCATCCAAACACCCCTTTCCTTTGCCCTGCGACCTCAGAATCTTCCCTTTAACCCAAGACCCTGCCTCTTCCACTCCACCCTTCTCCAGAGACTCTTAGATCACATCATTCCACCCCTTCCAGGCCCCAGGTTAGGAGTAGTGGTGGGAGGAAGGGAAAGGGCTGGGCCTCACTGCTCCCAGCGACTGAAAGGACAACACTATCTGGAGCCACCCACTGAAAGGGCTGCAGGCATGGGCTGTACCCAAGCTGATTTCTCATCTGGTCAATAAAGCTGTTTAGACCAGAACTCTGGTGTCCCAATCCTGTGTCTGTGGAGCTGGGAGGGAACTCGATGAGAGCAATCAAATTAGGGGCTTTGGGAGGCCGAGGCAGGTGGATCACCTGAGGTCAGGAGTTTGAGACCAGCCTGGCTAACATGGTGAAACTCCATCTCAACCAAAAAGACAAAAAAATTAGCCAGGCGGGGTGTGGGTGCCTGTAATCCCAGATACTCGGGAGGCTGAGGCAGGAGAATCACTTGAACCTGGGAGGCAGAGGTTGCAGTGAACTGAGATCACGCCATTGCACTCCAGCCTAGGCAACAAATGCAAAACTCTGTTTCAAAAAAAAAAAAAAAAAAAAATTAGCAGGCAGCCTGGTGGAAATGAATCAAAGTGGATTCCTTCCTGCTTTTTCTAAGGACCAATTGCTTCTCAGTATCAATTCCAACTGAACCACACTGTCTGAAATGACCTGACCAGCCAAATACCACTGGCTTGTCCTGTCTGGTCTCCACCCCCAAATCTGGGCCTGGGAATTGCATGGACTTTGGTCTTGGAGGGCTCAGCTAGGCCCCAACACTGCTCAGAACTTCTCCCAGCTTGGAAAGCCCCAGCCTAAGAGGGAAACTCAACCAGAGGAACTTTCACGTCAAATCTAGAAAGCTCACTTCTGCCTAGGAGGGGTGTGGTGGAGGGGCCTGGGCCAGCCTGCTGTGCTGTTAGGGCCCCCACAGCAAGTCCGTGGAAGGCCGCATTTTTTGGTAATAGGCTCATGTGAGGGGTTGCAGCATCCTTCATCTTAGGCACACCTGCCTGATGCGTTGGGGCTGAGCTGCTCTGCTTTCAGCCCTTCTCGAAAATGTGCCCACACTAAATTTTCAAAACAAAAGCAGATGCTTTAACAACAACGAGGCCTCGTATACCTATTTCCCAGATGACCAGCTCCAACAGTGGCCTTGACAGAGCCCCCTCCTTGACTCTGAGAAAGGGACCTATGCATGCATAACACCCATCAATGGTGCAGAGCAATAGAAAAGTGCAAGGTGACAGGGAGAAGAGCTGGAGGAGTTCAGAGAATGCCAGCCCAGGGTGGGCACTGGCTGGGAGTTCTGCAATCGGGGTCAAGGGCTCCATCTTGGTAACCCCTCTGGCTCCAGCACAGGGGGTGGCCCACGAAAGGTGCTCCAGACACGTTTCTGCAGCCAGGAGGACTGCTGGTTCCACTCACGCAACGGAAGCCTCCTGTTCTGGGAGGGGCCTACAGGAGTGGCCCGGATGGGAGCCTTTGGGGCCCAAAGCTGGAGAGAGTCTGCCCTCTGCTGGCTGCCCGGGAGGGCCTGTCGGCGACTCATCCTCCTGTCCCTTGCACCACTAGCTGTCCTGCTCCGGGGCCACTGTCTTTCAGTGCAGCCCCACTGTGGGCAGGGCCCGGACGCACCTCCTGGGAGTAAGACTTGGGTAAAGGCAGGGGGCTGTAAGCCAGCTGCGGCCAGGCCAGGAAGCACTCACTGGACGGTGAAGGGCCAGGCAGGGTGGCGCAGCAAGGAAGGAGGAACACCAGGCAGGGGAGGCACGGCTGGAAGGAGGGTCGGCTGACGGGGAGAGGGCCCAGCATCCGCAAGCGCGGCGCTTGCGCCGTCCCAGGAGACACCAGGTGGTGCTATGGGTTCAGGGCAAAAGGCAGGCGCTGCCTTTCCGCGCACCCCACTCCCTCCTCCTCTCCCCGTGGACCCTGAGGACTCAGCTCCTGCGCAAGACAGCGCACGCGTGTAATTCCCGACGCTCACTTCTCCTTTGAGGGTTGGCGCGCTTCGGGGCCCTGTGGAATACCAAACCCTGTGGAATTGACCCAAAGGGTCACCAAAGAGTGAGCAAGGACTTTTTTTTTTTTTTTTTTTTTAAAGACAGAAGTTTGCTTTTTAGTGCAATGGTGCGATCTCAGCTCACCGCAACCTCTGCCTCCCGGGTTCAAGCGATTCTCCTGCCTCAGCCTCTGAGTAGCTGGGATTACAGGCATAAACCACCCCGCCCGGCTAATTTTTGTACTTTTTTTGGTAGAGACGGGGTTTCTCCATGTTGGTCATGGCTGGTTGGTCTCGAACTCACGACCTCAGGTGATCCGCCCACCTCGGCCTCTCAAAGTGGTGGGATTACAGGCATGAGCCACCGCGCCCGGCCGGGGTGAGCAAGGTCTTTTTGTCCACTTGGGTATTTCTTTTCTCGCTTCTGTCATTTCCGAGCAAGGTGTCTAGGGCGACCTCTGGAGAATGTATTTGGTGGGAGCTATGCCCAGCTGCAGGAGCGGTGGAGCCCTGGGCTTTTTAGGATATGATAGGAAACAGCTGCCCCTCCCGATGGGCGGCAGGCCCAGCCTCCTCGGACTGCCCTTCTCCAGGAGCCTTAGCAAATTGTCTGGGTCACCTGAGAGGCTGGGGAGGGACAGGAAGATCCTGAGGCCGACTGGAGAGGAGAGGATAGAGATCTTGGGGAGAGGAGGTTGGGGGGTGTTAGAGCTGCTATTAAGTGTGGGAGTGATCCCAGAATCAAGGGCCACAGAAATTATTCGAGGTGGGGCACCCAATCGCTTCTCGGCCTTTGGCTAAGATCAAGTGAGGGGGCCACCCAGCGAGGCACGATCCACCGACTTAGATCAGTGGAGGTGAGTGTGGCGGAATGAGGGACGCAGGGATTAACTACTAGACGGTCCGGCCCTTCCCCCGCCTCGCCCCCGTGCCACGCCCAGCCCTGGCCCCGCCTCCAAGCCCAGCCTTTATTCTGAGACTCACTGGGGAAGCCTTTAAAAATGGTTCCCAGCCTCACCCCTAGAGATTCTGATTCGGTTGGCCTGGGTGGGGCCTGGGAATCTGTATTCGACAAGCTCCTCAGGTGATTCTCTGACACTCGCCCGGGCTCAGCCGGGCTTGAGAAACTGCGGACCAGCCCAGCCTCCCAGCAGGTGCCGACCTCCACCCGGCAGCTCAACCTCAACCACTTAGTTGCCAACAGCTCCGCGCCGCGCCCCGCCCCGCCGCGCAGCTGGGGTTGCCTCTGAACAGTTCTAATGATTAGAGAGGACTTCCTGGAACTTCCTATTTCTGTCCCCTAGAGTCATCCAGAACAGGTCTAATCCCTCTCCTGCATGAGAGCGCTTCAGAGATTTGAAGACAGCTGTCGGCTGCCTGAGTCCGCCCTTCCCCACTAGAGATCCCCTGGCCTTTCAGCGCTTCCTGATGGAGGCACCAGTCAGTCCAGCGAGTCCAGTGAAGGAGGAAAAACACAGCCAGGGGTTGGGTGCCGTCCAGTGGCCAGAGAAACAAACTGGGGACTTGCAATAGGTCAAAGGGATAGAACAGAGGCAGCTCCCCCTGGGAAACGCCTGTCTCCTGCCTTTCTAGGGTACAACTTCCTCCAACCCAGTCTTCTTTTGGACATTTTGGAAACATTATTCATCCAACTTGTGTGCTTACTATATGCTATAGACTGTTTGAAGATCTTTAATGTATTAACTCACTTAATTCTCACATTACTCATCCATCTTGTGTGCTTAATATATGATATCGACTATTTGAAGACCTTAAATGTATTACCTCATTTAATTCTCACAATGTCCCCATGAAGTAGGTGCTGTCATTTTACCCACTTATAAATGATCAAACTGAAGCCAAGAACCAAAGAACAATTCAACAACCGTCTCAAGGTCAAATTGAGCAGGATATAAATGCAGGCAGCTGGGTTCAGGTCTCATCCCTGCAGGGCCATACCTAACATCCCTGCCTTAAGAAGAAACAGTTATGTACTGGGGGTATGAGGCCTGGTGCTGAAATGGTGAGTTAGGACCATAGCAATAGCTAACAGTTATTGAGCACATACTATGTGCCTGGCACTGGTCTAGATGTTTTCTTATTTGATCCTCATATAAGCACTAGGAGGTAATTATATTATCCCTTTATTATATAAGAGGAAACTGAGAATTAGTGAATTTTAAAGAGACTTACTTAAGTCCCTGGCAAGTGGTGGAGCCAGGATTGGAACCAGCTGTGTGACTCTGGGCCTGCCTCCTCCCCTCTGGGTGTTGGCTCCTCATTTGTGAAGTGAAGACGTTGGCCTAAATTAGTTCTGGGGAAATGCTTCTCAAGCTTTAATGTGCATATGAATCTCCTGGGGATCTTGTTAAAATGCAGATTCTAGTTCAGTAGTTTTGGGTGGGGCCTGAGATTGGACATCTCTCACAAGCTCCCGGGGAGGTGGTGCTGATGTTGCTGATCCTGGGACCACACTTGAACAGCCAAGCTTCAGGGAATCCACCCAACTCTGATGTCCCGAGTTTATGGGCCTAGGAAGACTCACCCTAAAGGCCATGAAAATTCAGGAAGCAGATTATCATGAATAAAGCCCTTAGTGGGCATTTTCCATGCCTGAACAAGCCCTTGGTGCCTTTTCAAAAGCACCTGCTCCTGAGCCTTCTATATTTCCACCCTGTTGACCTCAACCTGACTCTTCCAGAGAGTTCAAGGGCTTGGTCCCAGGCCAAGGGGGACTGTTGCTACCTACTGGAGGAGTGAAGAGGTATCTCTATGGCTCTGCCTTCTGGTGGTACCCAGCAGTCCCATGGCAACCACATTGTCTAGTCCTTTAAGGGATGTTCACAGATATTCCTGGGCACACAGTAATATCTACGTTTACATTTAGAGGTTACATTTGGCCCCATCCCTTGAATTTTGATGTGGCGATGTGGCTTGCTGTGGCCTCTAATTGAGACCCAGAAGTGTCACTTCTGAGCAGATTTTTTTTTTTTTTTTTTGAGATGGAGTTTCCCTCTTGTTGCCCAGGCTAGAGTGCAGTGGTGCAATCTTGGCTCACTGCAACCTCTGCCTCCCGGGTTTAATCGATTCTCCTGGCTCAGCCTCCCGAAGTAGCTGGGATTACAGGTGCCTGCCACCACACCCAGCTAATTTTTTGTATTTTTATTTGAGACGAGTTTCATCATGTTGGCCAGGCTGGTCTTGAACTCCTGACCTCAGGTGAT